GTACTTGTTTTTCTAGTAATTGGAAAGGTTTAATATAGGGGCTTTGGGAGAAAGACCTAGTGATTTGTTCCTATGGAGTGAACATGCCAGAAAACCCTGTGGGGCAGTTCTAATCTATCACGTAAGGTCAACGTGAGGTAAAATTGATTAGATGGTACATCAGAATAAGCTTATACAGAAATTAAGTTGCTCAATAAATTTCTAAACTAAGTAGTTTGGTTTTATCAACCATCTACTTGTACATGCTGAAGAAAAAGCTGTAATATCTATCACTACAAATGATTCTGCATTCTCTTCAGTAGAGCAGTAAATAGACTGTGGTCGTCATAACTTTTTCAGGGAGATTTCCAATAAAATATTATAAATAACTAAAGTTAATTTAAAAAATCCTTTTATAATAATCTATTCTTTAAATTTACTATAGGTCCTTGATAGTTCCTCAAATATGAAAGATTTCATTTGCAATATTTTGAGAAGATGGCTCTGGATGAGATGGAGTGATATAGTAACTGGGTTGTAGGTGTGTCAGAGTCGGTAAGATTGGCAGGGCAGGCTTCAGAGTTATGTAGATAGGGTTACTATGAGTCACATGTTACTCGACAGCACATAACAACGACATGATTATATCTGATGTGTAAACTTGTTGTTGTTGTTATTGATTGCCTTTGAGTTGACTATTACTCATAGTGACCTATGAACAAAATACCTGAAGCCTTTCTATAACTATTGTTCTTTCTTAAAGTTTACAGTTTTCAGAGGCATATTATTTAGGAAGTGACTGTCACTCCTGCTTCTAAAAAAATGGTATAGCATGTTCTAAATACATAATACTTCAAAAATATATAGGAAAGCCAAGTCCCGTGTGAAAATCTCAACCTTGGCATCTCTACAGCCTATTCTGCATTATCTTGCAAACCTTATTCACACACACTTCCCATGAGTGGAAAATGATCACCTAGGAAGATGACAATTTTCATTTCAGAGTTGTTTATTTTAATCTAGTTTTTGTGTGGTTTTTTTTCCAATAGATGGTATCAACCCCAATGATTTGTGGAATTCACTCATCATACATACTTAAAAACATGATTGGAGGAGAAAAAATATCTTCTTGCTAACTTCAATAACACATAAGTATATGTTTACTGTATAATTAAAACAACTGTCAGGAAAATATTATGATGGCAAAGAAGAATTATATATTACGAATCATAAAGATTTTCCAGAATATCAAAAGACTGCTTCTATAAATTTTAACCATATCATATGTCATTAAACACAGAATAAATAAACTTCTATAAAATAGGAGTTCACATTGAGTTTATACTGTTCATTCATTTAATAATAAATACCTGAACAGGTTAAACTCTTTTAAATATCAATAAGTGCAAAATTATTATCAGAAAATTAAAGAGAATTTAGATTTAAAAGTCTCAGAGCCCAACAGTCAGAGTAGAATTTAAGTTACATTTTGTGAGAAGGATATTGTTACATATTTTTGGTCTAAATTGATAGCTTTTTCATATGAAAGTAACTTTTATTTAGCAAGGTAGGTGAACATTTTAAAAAGAAGTGATTTATGGAAATTTATTAGAATAGACACAAATACAAAGACATGAAGAAACAATTATACTGATAACTAGCTAAAATTATCTCTTAATTATATTGTGTATTATTTTTATTAGGGAGTTCTGGTGTCATAGTAGTAAGATGCTACACTGACAACCAAAAGGTATATAGTTCAAATTCACTAGATGGTCCATGGAATAAAGATGGGTAAATTCCTCCTATGTAATTTATAGACATTTAGAACTTGATGGAGGGTCAGATACGAGTCTGTTCTGACTTGATGGCACATAAAAAAACAGCAACAGTGTTTTTTATTATCATTCATCATATTTTTCCAAAACCCAATTTTTATGAAAAAGAGCTATTCCTATTCCATTCACGGAGCTCAAATTTAACTAGCAAAATATAACTGAAAATAATTATAGAAATCTACTCATTTAAGTTTACTGCTCATGCATTAACTTTATAAACATGGACCACCAAAGGCTTCTCAGATTTGCCTGGAGAATATAAAATATTTCCATGGTCCATTCAGCTTCTATGTTCCTAGGTGACATATATCTCCTTATCAATATTCAAATGCATCACACTTCACTCAAAAGTTCCTCATTCTCATTTAATAACCTAGCTTCTTTTTTCTCTATGAAAATACAAATGTTCTATTTTTCTCGGTTTTTTGCCTATATAATAGAATCATCAGATTATTTTAAATATAAACTGTAATATTCTGTCTGCTGGTTTAATTGCCTAATTACGGCCTACATCCTAAATAAAATGTAAAGACTTGAAACTTGCCTAAATTGTCCTTCACAATATGAACCACTCACTTCTACTTCTTGCCTCTGCACATCCCTGTCATCACTGTTCTTTGTAATGTCTACCAGACATGACAGTTTTATCCCATCTAAGGTCTATGTATTTTTCTGGCTCTTCTGTCTATTATTTTTGTTTCCAGAAAGGCACCTAGTTACTCCCTCAATCCTTCAACTATTTCTTTGCCAAGTCTTACTGGAACATCCTTGGTCAATCAAGAAAGTATTTTTGGTTTGTTTTGTTTTTTTATGTTGCTTTATTCCACTTTATCATTTATTCTCATATTTCCCTATTGGGAAATATGAGCTTATATTATAAAACCACCAGTATTTAAAACAAAATACAAACTATTCACCCATCTGTATTGTTTATCACATACTTCTACCCTCTGGAACGTAAATGTTATTAACTAATATATTTGGTTTTACTTTTTACTGGTTTTTCCTCACTTATACTAATGTATTGTCCATGCTGTTGTGCCATCAAGTTGGAACCAACTCATAGCTGACCCTTCAGTGAGATATTCAGAGGCTGTAAATCACACCAGTGGATATTGTCTATCTTTCTCAAGTGTTTTTGTACATAGTAGACACAAAATAGGTATTTTGTAGATCATATGTTTAATATAACAGAACTGTGACTCTTTATAGTCAATAAATTTTAGTTTATTGTAGTAATAATATTAACGTGTGATACATTGAAAACAACATTGCAGTTTCAAGCTGAGTTCAATGGACCTCAACCTCAAAATATAATGATGAGTTTGAGAATTAACATGTAATTACTATCTAAATAAAAAAGATCTTTCTGGGAAGAATATTAAGAGGAGAAAGATATGGAATTTAAGAATTGGACAGATGATGTACTAATTTGAATAAGATTGAAGAGTGGAACACAGAATATATCAAGAGAAACACTAGAAGGAATTGGAAAATATAGAATAATAGATGTCAGTAAAGGGAAGTTATTTTTGAAGGGTAAAGTAGTCAACAATGCCAAACACTGTAGAGTTAGGAGTAGAAAGGTGGTGGTAAGATAGCAAATTTAATATAAAACATGATAAAAATTTCAATAAGATTCATTTCTTAAAATTAAATCCTTAGAATTTAGAGATTGGAAAGAAGGGGTCCAATATTAGTAGGTTAGAAGTTGAAATTATTCACAATAATATGGTTTTTATCACGTATTATCTTCAAAATAAAGAGTTACATTTGGAAAAGGAATCCATCCCTGGTGTGACTTTATATGACTGAAAGCTTACAAATTGGGGTTCTTTTTCCTATTTCTAGCAGTATTGAAAGGAAATAGACTTTATATAAGTGGTGGAAAACATTTCTTGTTAGGGGCAAAACATTGATTGAAGAACTATTTAAACAAGTAAAAATTACAGTTTGTTTAAACAAGAATGAAAATAATTTTAAAATATAGATAGCCAATCTCTGCCTGTGTGATTTACTGCCTTAGAAACTCACTGGAGGGTCAGCTATCATTTGGTTCAACTTGATGGCACACAAAAACAAACAGAAAATAGAAATGATACAAAATTAACAAAAATTTTAGATGATTCTCATTAATTTTAATGATCCTTATTTACTACACAATGACCAATAAATCTTACATATAAGGAGGAATATAGAATTAGTTATTACTAACCTTGGTAATATGAAAATATTTTGCTCTCTTTTTTGTAGTTTTACACTATGAATAAGGATTTTTTTCAATAATTTTGTTAAATAAAAGCATTTATAGTACAACCACTATTTTACAGATAATTACAAAATGAATCCTAAGTGGGTGCAAATTGAGTAATTTGACTAATTTCTAGGTTGACCTTTAGAAAAGTATCTGTCTAACATTTCTTAGTTGTTGTATTTTTATTATATGAACCTGCTGTCCTAGTCATTTAATTTGCATGGCGTTTTTTTAAAAAATGAGAAGTGCAATATGGATATAAAATGAGTTTATTGTTTAAAGGAAGTGTTTCACTTTTAAAACAATTTTAATCTCATAATATAATGACTGCTGCTTTGAAACATACTCTTCTCTTTCTTGGTTGTTATTTCTGTTACCTAACTTCTACATTATTCACGTCTATATTTATTGAGTTAAGAAATTATTTTGCAGGTAGTTCAATTTATTGTTTAATCATAAAAAATAAAATACACCTAATGGCATTGCATAGCTTTCTTCTAGGTTTGTGTCATCATACGAGGTAGCCTTTAACCTAGATGAGAGTCTTAAGCATTGCAGATATATAACATGCATCTACAGCAAAATTGCCTATAAGAATAACTTCATTATTCTGGGAAGCTAGATCTATAAAATATGTAAAATGTAGAAGTGTTCTGCCTATATGATTTCTGGTAAGTACAGCATGAGTAAGTGATAAACCTGAGTCAGCTTCAGTTAGAGTACATCTTCCTAAAAAGTTTATTATGAGATAGAAGGACAAGGAAATAATAGTGAAAAAGTAGTCCTGCTAAGTATAGTTAAAAATTCTATCTACACAGTTCTGTCAGTATTAAATATGAGTTAATCAGATGAAGCATTTAGTGGTACAGTTTACTTGTTAGTTTTAGTAAATCAAAGTTGGAATGGAATGATGAAAAGCAAAAACTCACCAGTACCGCTGGGCAGATTGTGGTGGGTGGTAAAATATGGTCCTTCAAAGGTCCACAGTCACATTCAGGTTTTAGATGAGAAGCACATTTATTATGCAGCTAGTAAAATAAAAAGGGAAACAGTGTCAAATGCTGGGTGATAACAGCAAAAGTGGTGCAAATTCTATTTCAACTGAGAAATAGCAAATGCATTAAAAAAATTACAAGAACAAATAAGCAAGATCATAAAGGCACTCATATTACATTTGCCTTCATATAACTGCTTTAAATAAAGCCTTTAGCAATTCACTTGATTCAGGCCATACATTTTCTAGTTCTCAGAAATGTTTATAGTAAAAATGTACTTCAGGTTTTACAGAGAAGAAGACCACTTTATTTTATAAATACAAATTACTGTCCATCATAGTTCTTTTTTTTTTGTTATTTGCTACTGACATAATTTTGAAACCATCATGCATCGTGGATTTTTTTTTGACCCTCCTGTTTTCTCAAAGTCGTTTCAAAGTGCACAGCTCAGTATGGGGCATAATTGATCCCATCATTAGTTTTAACTTCGTAATTCAATATGTAAATGCAACCAGAGATTCATCTCAGTAGGAACAGGATATAAATATAAGATGATGATTATGATTATAAAAATTTAACTTTATATTGTATTTATCAGCTCTCCACTAAGTTAGTGCATAATCATATAATGTGCAATTTATTTTTTCATCATGTATTAGTTGAAACAGATTTTTCTCAGTTTAAGTCACAAGTTTAAATTAAAATATCACAATTTAGTATATTAAATTGTGATGTTTTTATAATGAAATGGTAGTTTTACCTGAAAACCATGCACAGATTTGGTATAATACTACACTGTTTAAAGGTATGTGAAAATCTTCATCAAGCCCATTTTCAATTTAGTTTGAAGCATCCACATTTTTTGAAATTTCACATTTTATCTTATTCAAACCAAAGTAGACAAATGAACAAAGTATATGATACTTCAGTTTTGGATAGAATGCCATAACTTTGAAGTCACGGTCATACTAAATTTCACAACAAATTTACTTTGGCAAGGAGTTAATTAGCAACCCAAAACAGAAATATAAGGCATGATGGCTTATAATTGTTGATAGAATTGTATTAAAGAGTTATTTCTATGGTTTTAAAACATTTATGACACTAATTTCCTGCTTTTAGTAAAACTTTGGAGTTAGGACTACATGTTAAGACTACTATAATGAATACATGATAAAATTAATTCAGTGGAATAAAAGCATCTTTAAAAATTCTCCATAATTAGCATCTCTGGTTCTCAGTGGCATGTAAACGTCTCTAAAAAAAGATTCTTAATCTTATTAGGCACTACTGATGTTTGAGAAGGGACAAGAGGTGTTGAAGAAGAAAGTAGTTAAAGGCATATGCAGAACAGAACTAAATAAAATGACACCGTGATTTGGTAAATTGAAATGCATAGCTTCCTCAAAATAAAATTAGCAATTGGTTTCAAATGTAATATTAGTTTTAAACTTAATAATACATTCTCCTAAAGTAAATCATAGTCCTATATATTTGAATTTAGGCATAATGGATAACCAAGCACCATGAGAACTGAAGAAAAACAAAAGACAGATGTAGAAAGAAAAGTGATATTATACAATTTAATACATCTTCCTTAGATTTAACAAACACAGGTGATATTTGTAAAGAAAAAGACCTAAATATTGAAATTATAATTTTAATATAGTAAGACTATATGTGACGTGTCTTGATATTAAAAATAAAACCAAAAAAACATAATGAACAAACTACAAATTCATATAAAAACAAACAAACAAACAAAACACCCAAAATAGGGATCACGTAATACTAAACCTCTTCTGTATCTTGGTCCTCACAGAGAAAAAGCTTTTGCTCTTTGATCTTAAAATCGAGTTAACTGGTATACAGAAGTAAAAAAAAAAAAAACCAAGATAAAAAATACTTGCATGCATAAAGTGAGAAAAATCCTGACTCTTTTACTCTTGATTCTAGTGGATAGTGAACAACAGAAGGGCAGGTGTGCTGTGTCTCACACCTAAATTGTTCACATGTGGGTTGTGCATTGATAGATAAATTGGAGATATTATATTCTCCCATGCGCCCCTCCAATAGGCTCTCACAGTCTTCAGACAATTTGATGAGGGGCTACTGACCTCATTATAGAGATATGGAAGGTATGAAAGTGAAGAAAAAAACGGCAAAAAAAACACAACAGTTAATGACAACTTTTGGCATGCAGGCTATATCCCCTTTCAGCAGGAAAATCCCAAGGACTCAAGTAAAATCAGGATTGTAAGACAATTATAGGATGGTTAAATCTTCATGTTTGGATTTGTAAGTTTTATAATAGGTTCTGGCAAATGGCTGCTTCAATTCAGGCTTATGCAGAGACAACACAAGCAGCTGTGAATTGTAGTTTGATAGCAACCTCTCAGGACTGCTGAGGCAGTTTTAAGATATAGTATTGCTGTTAGGGACCTCTCCAAAGTACTGAAGAGCAATGATGTCTCTCTGGAGACTAAGGTGCCTCTGATACAGGCCATGGTCTTTGCAATCACTTGTTATGCATCAGAGAGTTGGACAATGACCAAGGAGGATAGAAGAGGAGTTGATGCCTTTGGGCTGTGGTGCTGGAGAAGAGTATTGAGAGTACCATGGACTGCTAAGAAAATAAACAGATTCATCCTGGAAAGGGTTAAACCAGGTGGCTCCTTGGAAGCAAGGATTCTGAGGCTCCGTCTAACATACTTTGGACATGCTGTGAGGAGAGACCGGTCCTTGGAGAAGGACATCATGCTTGGGAGGGTGGAGGGACAGCGCAGGAGGGGAAGGCCCTCTATGAGATGGATTGATTCAGTGACTGGGATAATCGGGATGGGAGTGTCAGAGACAGTGAGATTGGCACAGGACAGAGCAGAGTTTAGGGCTGTTGTACATGGGGTCGCTATGAGTCACAAGCCACTCGACGGCACAGAACAACAACAACAACAATAGCAGGGCCATAAGCATATGACGTGACTTTTAAGAATACTAATACTCATATAATTAATAGGAAAATAAAATCTCACAATGCACAAAAATCCTTCTAAACAAGGTATCTATGTTAAAAAAATATTCAAGAATACGCTAATTAAATCTAAACTTCTTATCAACATGGTGACACTGTTTGTAGCCTGGAATCGCAAAACTGAAGACATTATGTCCACAATGAAAACACTGCTCATCTTTGAAGACACAAGTAGAATTAGAAAAATATGTCTTTACCTTAGCTACCATCGGTACCATAGTGCGGAGGGAGCTGGGCTGCCAAACCCAAGGGGCACTTCTCTGGCAGTTCAAATATAACAGCAGCTCTGCAGGGCTGGGGTGGGCAATCGCCTCCCATGCAATTTACAGCATCTTAAGCCCCTCTGGAGGATCACTGACAAGTCAATTTTGACTCAATGACAATGAGTGTGTGGGTCCTAAATATATTTGAGGATGGAATCTAAAAGCTTAAGTGAAAATATGTCCATTTCCTCAAACTTTTATCAAGACTAAAAGCGAGTATTATTAACAATAACAATAAATTTCTTACATTTTCAACTTGAAATAGTATGAGGAAGTTAACAGAAGATCTTTTTGTCTTCCAAAAGAAATGAGGACTGATAATTGTTTTAACATTAAGCACATCTAAAATGAGAAGCAAATTTAAACAGTAAAACCTCATCAAGAATAAAAATGAGCTAGATCACAAAGGGACTCACATTAATAGATCATAAAATATTGTCTTATAAATAATGAATCACATAATAAAGGAAAGGAATTGTTGCCCATTTTTCCCAATATTTTCTCCTTTTGTTCAGAATATCTCTAGCATATATTAAAGATAAGGCTTAGACTTTCATAGCATTATTGTGATATATGTCCAGAAATTCCCATCCATGTTAAGGGATACAATGCTCTAGCTAGGGAAGTAATGTTATATGATTATTTTTATTTGGTAATGTATTGAGCACTTGGAAGTAGTTACAAAGTTTACGGAATATCCCAGTAACATAATTTAGAGCTAGATCTATGGGTTTGTTTGGTTGGTGGTTTTTTATTGGGGGGTGTGTGTGTGTGTGTGTGTGCGCGCGCGCGCACACGCGCGCGCGCATGCATGTGTGTGATTTATTTTTTTAGAAAAAAGTCATTACAAATCAGTAATAAAACGAATGTGTGTGTATATATGTGTGTGTTTGGGAGAGTGTGTGCTGACATTTAGAAAAGAGTGATCGTGCTTGAAGTGACAAAAGTGAAATAAAAAAAGTCAAAGAAAGAACAACAAAATATAAATTTTTATATAAACTTTGAAAACAAAGAAGATATAATTATTCTGAGAATTTAGGTAATATAATTGAGAAGAACATATCAGGTGGTTTGTAAATTCAATTACTCTAATAATTTACAAATTCCAAAATGCTACCTAAAACTAGAATTTCCTAAATCATAAAATTATCCTATGTCACTGAAAATTTTCAAAAGACATATTGCTTTAGTTTTCCATGTTTTATTAAGGGTGACACCATATGACATCAAGTGTTAAAAATCAAAGGGTGCAACAATGAATGAATGGAATTCCAAAATCTCTGTAGATGTTCATTGAAATGAAAAATAAACAACCTAAATCTAAAAAAAAAAAAATCAATAGACATAAGGATTTTCAAACCTCAAGTATAATGTATTAAGTTCCCATCCTGAGATTCCTTATTTGAAGGACATTTTACTATAACCAAAACCAACACTCACTTGTTCTAAATAAGAATATCAAAGAAATGTTTGCAGCATAAATTAATAGGTATAAGAAATGAGAAAACCAAAAGAATGTGAGAGTATTACATATGAGAAGATGATATACACTGTTATTACCTTGATTTTTTTTGTTTTAAGTAGTTAGATTTACTAAAATAACTCAAGGAAATTAAATTCAAGTTCACAAATCACGCTTTGTTTATGATATAACAAACGAGTATAACACAAAATGTTGTAAGTACTAACTCAACAGTGTAAAATAGCTTTTATCTTTAAGTGTTTTTTTTAAACTCACT